CACTAAAAGATAAGACTGTTTGAAAAAAATCAACATCACAGAACAATAAAAAGTGAAAATCACCTCTTTTGCCTCTCCCCTTAATTCTACTCTCCACTGCTAAATCTTTTTTCTTCTAAATCTTTCTCTGCTGATAGGCATCATAATCCCACCTACTTAGCTGTAATAACAAAATCAAAAGATTATTTGGATTCTTACTGTTTCCTACTTTTAAATTCTTAAATAAAGCTTCTTACTAAAGATAAGATTTTATTAGCTCTTACCTATATAAGAGCTACCTAGGCAGATATCTAAATTGAGTAATTATTGCTAAGAGAAATTAAACAACAATTTAGTAAAAGTTGTTTTTTAAGATAAACTAAGTAACTTTAATTGCCTTATAACAATTTTATTACTACAAATAATTTATGTATCTGTATGTTTAATGTCATGTTTTTCTAAAAGAGATATATCCAAATCTAAAACTTATGGAAGCTACTGAAATTCTATCATCAAGAGATGGGACTCTAATTCTGCCCTAAAACCCTTCCATTAGAAAGCAATGGTCAAATTATTACTAAGCCTAAGTAGATGTTTATAGTAAATAAAGGCATATCTCTACAAACACTAATTAATTTAAAATTTGAAATTCTACAAAAAAAAATTGGTTTCTTTCAAACTTTTGGTTTTGTGATACTTTAATCCAGAAATTAAACTTTGCACTGAGTTTCCCTTTCCTTACTTGAAATTTGTATTTTAGAATTTGGAGGGGGAAAATAAACTGTTAGTAAAATTTATAGCATTCCCAGGTCCAGAGCTTCATAGAGTGCTTCAACTTCAATTCATCTGGGGAATACGGGGTACATGTCATTTATATAAGTTAATGATCAAATCTTTGAGAAGTCAAATATATCATGTAATTTCTTTCCAAGGCAATAATATATCACTTTACCTTCATAATGCTATTCTTCTCAATATCAATTATGTACTTCAGAATATAATCATACACCAGAATCTAGTCATTTTCAAAGATCACTTAGTCAAAACATGCTTCTTGTGAGAAATGGATTATTCATGTCATTTTTGTTTAAACATATATATGCACAGAAAAGGATATCAAAATATTTATAGAAGTTATTTTTCATCATGTTCCAGAATAGTGACTGTTTTTGTTCTATTCTTTGTATTTGTATGCCTGTGTTTTCTCAGTCTTCTGAATGGAGCATAGAAAATACAGCATAATTATATTTTTTAAAAAAAGTTATTGTCATTAAAAAAAAAGGTACCTCCTCCCAAGTTTTCAGAGACTCTTTTCTAAATAACTGTATTGCTATGACTGATAGCAGAGATGCCGTGGGACAATGCTATGTCACTGAACCAATGTTTGTGAAACTCCCGGTACAGGGTCTCCCCAAATACTGTATCTTTCATCAGATATCTGAAACCACGTCAGATATTTCTTGAGGTTATTTTAACTAGCATTTTAAGGAAGAATTTAAGAAAAATAAATCTTATTTAAGAAGTCCCTGGCATAATGAAATCCTGATCTAACAATCCTACGTATGAAATCGACCTCAGAAAATTAACTGTACTTCATGCTTAGAAATGATTTTTTTTCAAGACTTTCAATTACATTCTGCTTTATACTTTTAACCTATTTGACATAATTGGATTTGTCCTAAATATTTTGCAGAAGTCTTCTTATTAGAGGGTAGGGAGAGAGGAGATTAAAAAGGTTGGTTAGAATGAGACGAAGTTAAGCTCAGTTTATAAAAACTGTATTACTCATGCTACAAATTATTGGCATGGAGATCTGAGCCAATAAAATTTAATAAACAACATATACAACAATCACAACTTTTCTTATTAATTCCTAAGTAATCCAAATTAATGAATGAACAATGACTATCTTGCAGCTTAATTCAATTTAAATCTTTATTGGAAACTATTCTAGTGCCCTTGGATAACGACACACAATTATAAAGTCCCTGCTCAGAAAGTTTATAAAGTAATGAGGCAAGTCTACCACATATAAAACACTTGAAATCTGCTGGATGACTATTCATTTTTTTGCATAAACTCAGATTCAGAGAGAAGAGTATTTTACAGGGGGTTCAGCTACCTCCAGATACTCCAAAGGAATCCCCATGAAATTTTAAAGGGGAAGTAGCAGAAAAGAGGAGGTTTTTATGGATTCCCTAATTACTATTACCTCAAAAAACCTGAGAATTGATTTGGGCACTTACAAGACATTTCATGTAAAATTCAAATCTATTCTTGAACTCCTGATTAGCAATAATGACCATATCTGTTTAAAATGTAAAATGTGTTTTGTAACACTGAACTTTGAAAGCTAACCTATACAACTTCTTTTCTAATTTACAATTTAGATCAGGAAAACTAGAAGAGTAACTACCTTAGAATTAGTTATGTATTTTTATTTCAGTGAAACATCAGAGATATTAAATATTTAGGGAACAGAAATACAGGATCAACAAGATTTTAGAGCTATATTAAACATATACACAAAACCTGTACAATGTTTATTTAACCTCCGTGCAATAGGATTTAGAGTCATGCTATTCACACACACAACACAATGTCTATTAATCTCAATGTAATGTATAAACTTCAGGTCACTAAATGGGTGGTAAACTAATACTGGGATTTCATTTATTCTGGGGAGTTATGCTTAAAACTCTAAAACAGATCAAGAAGCTGGATATTCCAAAGTGCTCTGGGATCCTAACTCCCTTTATTTATATTACCTTCAAAACATGTATAGATAGTCATCTTAGAACTACAGCAGGGTTGTGACTATGTTCCTCACATATAAATGCAAGAGGACAAGATAACACATTAATGAAAAGAGTGTTTCGTTTTAGAGTTGGCCTACTACTACAAATTCATCATGGACAACTTAAAACAAATAAGCCCTAAATAAAAATGAAGTGTTAAATCATTAATAACAAACTGATAGTTTCTACTGTTAAATAAATACAAACTAAGGAGAAAACTGAATTAAAAGGACTATAATAGTGGTGGTGCAAAAAGCTCTAGATACAAAGGTTTGTAAGATATGATGGCAAGCATGAGATAGATAGTAATTTCATTTGTATCAAGTATGAACTGAAATTAATGACAAACAATAAATCATCACAAAGTTCTAAACTATAATCCATAGAAAAGCAACATAATTCTAATAAGCTGAACATAAATGACAAATAGAATAGCAATATGCCCACAGAATTGTAGTATGGTGAGCTCAAGTACATCAAGTGAAAGCCTGGGGTAAAAGAAATGCTGAATGGATGCACCACAGTATGGGTTAAACTACAGCCCAATCTCATGTTTTTTTTTGGGCCTATGAACTAAGGACTGATTTTACAGATAATAATTTGCAATCAATTTGATGATAGAGAATACAAACTTTGAATCTCAATTAAAAGAAATGTTACAGCCCCCCTCCAAGGAACTCCAATCTTCTAATTAGTAGATTTGTATTACAAAAAATTTGTACTCAATTATTATAAATTTCCACAATGAAATTTGTTTTCTCTTTTTGTATACCTCTAGGACATCCTTCCTTGATTTGTGCTTTATCTCCTAAACCCTAACATATTTTATCTAGCTCTCTAAAGAAAAAGTCTGCCAACCCCTGTATTAGAGTTTAATACAGGGATAATGTGGATGTGGAATGGCTTTTAGGAAATCAAATGACCAAACTATCTGAACTTATTAGATCTGAGTATGGTGTGGGAATCAGAAAGTAAATCTGATGAACAAAGGTTAAAGTTTAATTTGAAACTAAAAGATGGTTACCCCCAAAAGACTGCAAATACCACAGAGGTCTCAGGTGCAAATCATATAGATAGTAAGGAAGATTTCTGATCACTTGCTGATCTATTTAACCATACTTGCACACATTAATATTTAGCAAAATCACCTTACCAAAAGTAACATATTTTTATAGAATGAAGTACAAGGAATTTTAAGTAATGTAATCATAGTCCTGTGTACAACTGATAAAAGCTACTGAGGAGTTATAGCTCAGCAAAGAAAAACTAAATTCAAGGTGTTTAGACATAGAGCAGACTGAATCCCAAAGCAGTATTTTGATGTTGGAAGTATTCAAGGAAACACTGGAAATCCATCTGTCAGGAATATAACGAAGATTGTTCTTTCACTGATTGGAGAATTGGACTACATGACCTCTAAGGAGATTTTGAATTTTACATTTCTATGAAATACTCAGCAAATCAAGACTAAAACTCAAAAGAAAGCAGGTGCTGTTGCTTTGGAGAAACTGTAACCTTAGAGTGAAGCAATCTAGTGGTCTAAATATACAGACACTAGATTTTTTTTTTTTTTTAAGAGGGTGGGAACTTTAAGGTCTCAAATATTAAGAACTTTTAAAAATTACATTTAAAAAAAAATCAATTAAAAACTCAACCTTACTGTTAAGAGACAATATTAATTCCAAGGTAATAATATTTTAAGTCTGGTGTTGTTAATAAAAGTGCTTGTAAGAGCTAATAAATTAACTTATGTTAAACTCCTAAGTCAAAATTCTGCTTCTATCAATGGTCTGCTTATACAAGTAGACAGTCATTCTTTCATTTTACAAATACTTATATATTGAAAAATATAAGCGCCATGTACTCAGCAGAATATTAGGAGCAGAGAGGACAGAGTGAGTAAAAATACACATAGCTTGTGCTTTTATTTGGTTTTTATATATTTTAGGATCTTATGGCTTTTAAGTAATTTAAATAACAGATATATCCAATTTTTTTTGTATCAGATATCTAAGATAACTTTTAAATGATCATATAACAGAAGAGTAACTCAATTAGAAACCAAGAGGCTGTGTTCTTATAACTCCTCTGTAGCTGACCTTTTTATGGGATATTAGATCACTTTCTCCATTTTTTAAGTTTTTTGTTGGTGTGGGTGATATGGATTCTCAGAATAACAACAAAAGTCCCTGCAATTCAAAAATTCTGATTCAAACTTCTCACCTTGATTATTTCCACCAATTGATCCACACCACTGTCCCCTGGAAATATTGGTTGTCCTAATAACAGCTCAGCCAACACACAGCCTGCAGACCATACGTCTATAAAGAAAAGAAAACAAGAGTTACCATTACTAAGAGTTACTAATGCTTGTAGCTTAAGTTGCATTGAAAACTATTTGCATACATTTCCTAGTTTTACTCTGATCACAGAGTAGATGTCACAAGCAAAAAACTGTACAATCCAAAACCGAGGGAGAAAGTCATCAAATTATCCCTGTAGTGTAAACTTACCAAGAGGAAAAAGGCCAATAAGCAAATTCCAACAAAGGGTCAAGTCCATTTAATTATCCAATATCAGGTGTTCAAATCTTCAACAACCAAGATGGGATTATAGCACCAAAACATGGGGCATGATTATCTACTTATCATACTTTAAAATAAGTCAAAGTGATACAACCTCTGTACATTGGCAGTGCTTACAAAATAGCAACAAACAAGTCTTCAATCTCTATACACAGAGTTTTAAACCAATGCAAATTCTGATAAAAAATTTTAAGCTTTAAATGGTTGGCTTTTGTGTTATAATATGACTGATGAAAGAATGCATTTAAATATATTTCCATTTTAAATGCAAAGACAGAGGAGTAAATTTTATTTCACAAATCCTAAAGAATAGAAAAAGGAAGGAAAACTTCCAAACTCATTCTATTTATTCTGATACCAAAATCACCTAAAGACTCCAATAAAAAAAAGAACTACAGGATAATATCTTTGATGAACATGGATATAAAAATTCTCAATAAAATACTAGCAAACTGAATCCAACAATACATTAAAAAAAAATTCGCCACAATCAAATGGGATTTATTCCTGTGTTGCAAGTATGGTTCAATATTCACAAATCAATCAACTTGATACACTACATTAATAAAAGAAAGAACAAGAACCATATGATCATTTCAGTAGATGCAACAAAAGCATGTGACAATGTATAATATCCATTCATAATAAAAAAAAAAAAACTCAATAAGTAGGTTTAGAGGGATCATACCTCAACACAATAAAGGCCATATATGAAAAACTCACAGCTAATATCATCCTCAATGGGGAAAAACTGGGAGCTTTTCCCCTATGGTGAAGAACAAGACAGGGATATCCACTCTCACCACTGGTATTTAACATAGCACTAGAAGTCCTAGTCACAGAAATCAGACAGACCACAAAAAGAAATAAAAGGCATCCATATTGGCAAGTAAGAATAAACTTTCTTGATTTGCAGATGACACGATACTCTATATAGAAAACCCAAAAGATTCCACTAGAAAGTGCTAGAACTGATGAAGGAATTCAGTAAACTCACAGGATAAAAAAAATCAATGTACCACAATCTGTTGCATTTTTATGCACCAATAATGAAGCAGCAGAAAGAGAAATTAAGGAAACAGTCCCATTTACAATTGCTCCCAAAAACCAAAAGAATAAACTTAACTAAAGATGTAAAAGATCTGTACTCTGAAAACTATAAAACACTGAGGAAAGAAACTGAAGATGACACAAAGAAAAGGAAAGATATCCCATGCTCATGGATCAGAAGAACAAATATTGTTGAAATGTCTATACGACCCAAATCAACATTTAATGCAATCTCTGTCAAATACCACCAGCAATTTTCACAGACTTAGAACAAACAATCCTAAAACTTGTAGGGATCACAAAAGATCCCAAATAACCAAAGCAAACTTGAAAAAGAAAAGAGAAGCTGGAGGCATCACAATTCTGGACAAGTTATATCACACAAAGCTGTAGTGATCAAAACAATATGGTACTGTGCTCGCTTCGGCAGCACATATACAAAACAATATGGTACTACTACAAAAATAGGCACATAGATCAACAGAACAGAAAACCAAGAAATGAACCCACAACAATTAATCCTCGACAAAGTAGGAAAGAATATCCAATGGGAAAGACAGTCTCTTCAACAAACGGTATTGGGAAAACTGGAGCGCAACATGCAGAAGAATGAAACTGCTTTCTTACATCAAACACAAAAATAAATTCAAAATGGATTAAAAAGTTAAATGTGAGACCTGAAACCATAAAAATCCTAGAGAGAAACACAGGCTTATTAATAACCTCTCTGACATCGGTCATAGCAACTTCTTTCTAGATATGTCTCCTGAGGCAAGGAAAACAAAAGTAAAAATAAACAACTGGATTGACCAAAATAAAAAGCTTCTGTATACAGAAGGAAACAATCAGTTAAATTAAAAGAAAGCCTACAGATTGGGAGAAGATATTTGCAAATGGCAAATCTGTTAAAAAGTCAGTATCTAAAATATATAAAGAACTTATAAAACTCAACATACATGCAAAAATAAATATTCCAATTAAAAAATGGGCAGAAGACATGAATAGACATTTTCCCAAAATGTGGGAAAATGGCCAAAAGACACATGAAAAGATGCTCAACATCACTGTTCATTGGGGAAATACAAATCAAAACTACAATGAGCTATTACCTCACATCTGTCAGAATGACTAAAATCAACAATACAAGAAACAACAGGTGAAGGTGAGGATGTGGAAAAAGGGAACTCTCTTCCATTGCTGGTAGCAATGCAAACGGGTACAGCCACTCTGGAAAACAGTATGGAATTTCCTCAAAAAGTTAAAAATAGAATGAACTACCCCAAGATCCAGCAACTGCACTCTAGGTATTTACCTAAAGAATAAAAAAATACTAATCCAAAGGGATACACACACCCCAATGTTTATAGCAACATTATCTACAATAGCCAAATTATGGAACCATTAATGGACAGATGGTCACACATACACAAGTACACATATATATGCATACACACACACATTTATATGAAGGAATATGACTCAGCCATAAAAAAGAATGAAAATCTTGCCATTTGCAAAGACAGACAAGGATGGAGCAAGAGAGTATTACGCTAAGCAAAGTAAGTCAAAGAAAAAAATACCATATGATTTCACTCATATGTGGAATTCAAGAAACAAAACAAATGAGCAAAGGGGAAAAAAGAGAGAGAGGCAAACAAAGAAGGAGACTCTCAACTATAAGGAACAAACTGATGGTTATCAGAGGTGAGGTGGGTGGAGGATGGGTCAAATAGGTGATGGGGTTTAAGGAGTGTACTTGTGATGAGCACTGGGTTTTATATGCAAGTGTTAAATCACTGTATTGTACACTTGAAACTAATATTATACTGTATATTAAATAACTGGAATTTAAATAAAAACTTAAAGACAAAGGGAAAATACTTGAAGAGGTCAAGGTTAAGATTAGAGAGATAATCATTAATTTTCAGTATGTAAATTGTCATGCTATTATGCCATATCAGGTGGTAAGGTGGATAAGAAGTTGACTATATATAGCATCTACAAAAAATAAAATTATTTAAGAGCGAAATGCTTATTTTAGCCAACTAGAAGTTTTTTGTGCTTAGTTTTTCAATACATGAACTTTTCATGTTAAAAAAAAAAGTATAAGGTGACAGGAGGTTAAGGAAAAGAAGAAGAGCTGCATCATAGCAAAAGAAAAGCACAAACGGAAATACGAGACATGAGAATGAGTATCAAGGTACATGAACACAAGCAGAGTCAGAAACCAAGCAGAAAGAGTAAGGAGAAGGGGGAAAAAAGTAGAAATATAAATGAGAAAAGGAAAAAAATAACATTAAGGAGGGACAGTAAGTCCAAACTGGGATGGGTATGTGAGATATGAGCCTGCCAGTGTATTTTGTTGTAAAATTAAAACATTTTAAGGGAAAAAAAAAAAACAAAATAATTCACTTTTAAATAAAAATGGAAACCTCAATCCTGAGAGTAAACTTTTTAAAAATAATTTAAATAAGTTTTAATAATTTATAAAAAATTTTAATTAATTAAAAAATAATTTAAAGGATACAATCCTAGCTTACCCAAGATAGTCCTGGTTTAGATTTATTGTCCTTGGATAATCACTAATAGCATCCTCTTTCTCTTTTAAAACTATTACCAAATAAGAAGTTAAATTAAAAGGTCAATCTATTTATAGCCCACCATTAAGACCTTCTGCAAGGAAAAGCTAATTTTCAGTTTCTGGATGCCTGAGATTCCTGGGTTTTGTATGAACCAACAATCAAGTGCTTTAGAGAATGAACATAAATCTCTGGTGGGCCTTCTCATCTACCAGTAAGAAAGGAGAAGAACGGTGAATGGCATGGGGTCAACAAATAATTTAAGAGGTCTGATACGGTGAGATGCATTACCAAAAAGGATAAGAAATCCCTGCCGGTGACTAACTTTTTACTGACATAGGAAAACAATGACAAAAAATTTATATAAGAAATTCAAGTTCATCTTGTCCAGTTCTAAGCAATGATAACCAAGACACCTATTTTGCAAGCACTGACCAAAAAGAGCCCTCCTTGATATACTAGGTAATTGCTAAATGAGGCAAATATTAAAACCTGCTAAGAACACTTAACTTCATTCAAAGCCAAATAATACTAACTCTTAAGATGGAGGGACAAAAGATATATATCTTCATTAACATAAAGGCTTTATTTTGATCTAAGTTTAAAAATATGCCTTTACCTAGCCAATTAGATGGAAGGTAATATGCACTCATTTCTTTACAATAGAAAATAATTCATCTCAGAAGACAAGGCTGGAAAAACTATAGGGGAATAATTAAGTATTTATTAAAAAACCATGGGAAATACTTTCTTACACTGGATTTAGGTACAATATGGGAGACAAGGAATAAACCATTAAAGAACACTATTGCTTAGTGGTTGCCACAGACTAATAATCCTAAAATTCAGGTGGCAACTATATCAATGATCCTCAATGTTAACTCATGCAAACTACCAAAACCAAGGTATTTACCATTCACTTTCTGGGAGAAACCAAAATCTCTTCTGTTCATACTAAATGGGACAAATGAATAATATTCTCCAAATAGAATAAAACAGGAGGTATAATAAAATAAGCACTCTGGCCCATTGACTTATCTGGTTATTTGGGGATTTCAACCAAAATAGTGTTCTGCTTCATACTTAACGCTCATTCCTGGTAAAAGTAATCTTTCAAGATCATTTAGTATTTACCACACAGATAAGAAAACTGAGGCACAATAAAGATCAGGGACTTGTCCAAGGTAAAGCTACTGAATAGGAGAGCTACACCTGGAACCCAATTTCAATTCCCAGTCAAGACACCACTGTCAGAGAATAACTAACTGCTTCTTCGAAGGTCTATAAACTCAAATCTTCATCCGAAGAACCATTTGTTCTCTGCCATTTCTCAGTAAGATAATATAATCAGAACCATCAGCCTGAGCTCTGGTTATATACAAATAGGACAATAATCTACTCAGAACCAGCTACTCTCTCATTTCAAACAATTGTTAAAAATATTTCTAAAATGTATCTGCATTAGCACTCTTCTTAATACTTTTGTTTCTATCTTCAAATCACCAGAGTCATGAGAGGAAATATCCAAGTCTAAAAAGGGAGGCCAAATCCAGGCTTATTAGGGTTCAAGAGACCAAAGTTGAATCAGTGGCATTTAGTGAGTCCTAAGCCTAGAAAGTCAGATTCTGGTATTAGCCATACAAAGGAGGCTATTGAAAAGGAGGCACTCATAACATCCAGAGAAGTGATTCCTAATAGAGAAAATGGACTAAAATGCTCTTCTTTTGCAAGATGATTCCATGGAACTGATAAGGCACATGGACATTTATAGAAGTAATGCACTCTTAAGCGGGTAGTGAGTTTTTTTGAATACATGCCTTATTAATGTGTCACATGATGTGGTCATGACTTTTTATTTAAAAGAAGCAAACTGCATTTATTTTGGGTGACCCTAAATAGGTGCCCAGAACTCATCCCAATATCTGGTATGTGAATGATCAGTATCATATATTTGAATAAAATACAGAGCAGCTGTAAAGTCCAAGGATATTTCCAAAGATAAAGGGCTGAAATTTGCTCTCGCAGAGAGTCAAATTAACAAATAGCATGAAACAAATACCTTCTTCCATTTCTTTATACTCTCACTAATATTTTATTTAATCTTCACAGCAACTCAGAAAGGTAGGTAGAACTGTTAGCAACCTCCACACTTAGTTAAGTAGTAACAGTCCTAGAACTCAAATCTAGTTCCACTCCAACCAAAATACCCTTTTTGCTCTTTCTCATTCGTCCCTTAACATAGGCCATATAACAGCAATGATGAAACTGTCAGCATCACACACACACATGGACACACACACACACACACACACACACACACGATTATACTCTCTTTCCAGTGTAGCCAGTCTCAAAGTATGGTCTGCAGAGCTCTGGGCCCCCTGGACCTTTAAAGAGGTCCTAATGGGTAGAACTATTTTCATAAGAATATCAAGATATTATCTACCTTTTTCACTGTGTTGACATTTGCACTAATGGTGCAAAAGAAATGATAAGTAAAACTCTGGGTCCCTTGGCACAAATCAAATTGCTCTTTGGCATTTTTGTCCTTTAGGCAAAATAAAAATGGTAATGTGTTTCTGTTTAGAGGCCTGTGTTCATATCAGAAAATTTCCACTTGTATTAAAAGACAAAAACTGTCCACATTCTGGTTTTTCTTAGAGTTCTGCAACTATGGGTTCTTTTTGGTTGGCTCGTTTGGTATTTGCATGCTTTTGGTTCTGTTTTTGGATTAAGGAATTCTCTTCAGAAACAGAATGTAACAATAAAATAATTCTGACAGTTACGTGTACACCTAGCCTAAGGTTGCTCCTCCTCTCTTAGCTTTACCATTCATGTGCAGCTGACAGTACTATGTTCACTTTTATTAGTATCCTAAAATGGGGAAGAAGTCATTGAAGACAGAAGCAAATTATCCCTATTCAATTCGTTCTAATCACTAAAGATCTTTTGTGAAGACTTCTACAGAATCAATGGGTTTAGCCAAACAAATGAAAAAGAATTGTTTTTTTGTGACTTGACTCAACAGCAAATAAGCAACTGGGATAACATAGTAGGAATGACAACAATATGGCCATCATTTTCATCATCAATGTTATGAATGCAACTTCTCTAAATAGTGATCAAGCTCAGAAGTTAGTATTTCAGGAGAATTAAAATTTTAAGAAAGAAAAGATACACTTAGGATTTATTTGAAATTTTAAAAGTTAAAAACATAATAAATAACATAATAAATAACATAATACATAAAAACATTAATAATCATAATCATAATAAAAAAATCCCAGAAACCTTAATAAGAAATAATAAATATACCTTAAATTCTGAAAGTTGACATTTAAAATACTCTACACATTTTTGCACATCAGTCTTTAAGGAGAAACAGATTTTAGGTCATCCCTATTTTTATATTTAAGTGAAAGTATAGATTAGTAATACTAAATTACTAAAAACAAGATGTAATTAATAATTACAAGCCATTATATTCATATTCAGTACTTACCTATACTAGAGGTATAATCAGTGGCTCCAAAGATCAACTCTGGTGCCCTATAGTACCGAGAACAGATATACGAAACATTGGGTTCTCCTCGGACCAGCTGCTTTGCACTAATCAAAAAAAAAAAAAGCATTAATTCTTTAAACTCAGTGTAAACCTTAAAAGAACCTAAACTTTCATTCACAACCCTGAACATTTATCTAAGATTCACACCATTAAATCATACAAGCAAAAAAAGAAAAATAAGAACCATAACAACCTAACAAAAGAAACTTATAATTTTAACGTAACAGTAATTTTTTTAAAAAGTAGCTTTTGAAGAATGCCTTTGTCAACTGTCACCTAAGGAAAAAGAAACAGAAAGTCATAAAAGGACAAATGCTGAATTTCTTATTATCTTCTGTTCCTTGAATACTACCTCTAAAATATAAAGGAGGGCAGGAAAAGTAAGAAGTACCTCCACCCACCAAAAAACACAGTAATGGATTATAATACAAGAATGAATACTTCGTACATGAGTGTTTTTTAAACAGAAATTGATCACTCTCTTATAAATTGACTTCAGCATCAGAGTAAATATCCCAAGGCTTACCCAATCTACTCTCTTTTTCCACTGTGTTGGTCAATTTATTAATTGTCTAAATATTCATTACTCAATAAATAAGACAGGTCCTCCCCTGTAGGTCAGAGATGATTCACAGCCTCTGAATTCTAACTTCGCTGTTGTAAATTTAGTTACATGTTCTCTAATCCAACTTTTATTCAAAATACTTTGTGACATGTATTTTAAACATTAATTAGTTTCTTTGGAGCTGTCTCTCAAGATAATTTAGAGATACACTGAAATAAACTCCTGTAGAAGTTAACTACTTTGGCAAAGAAGGACAACAAGGATAAATACAGGCAATAAACACAAACAACAAAATCAAAACAGAAACAACGTAAGTAACAGGGAAAGGGAAAATTTTGAGGTAAAGGTATAGGAAATCAGAGTAGAGACAAATGAAAGTAGTTACAAAGGTTTCGAAGTTTGGACTTTCTTTTCTTTCTTTTATTTCTGGTCAATGATAATCCTTACCTTAACTTGTTCTTCCTTCATTTCAAGTTTTGAAGAGGGAGGCAGTTTATTTTTTTAACATTCTCCCCAAGTATTGACACACAGCACTGATTTCATAAATTAACAAATATCAATCCTTGCTTTTTGGCTGCATGAAAATTAAGATAACTTTTCAGCTTAGCTGATAAAAACTTTCTACTTTATAAAAGGTTTTTTATATTAGTAAGAGAGATTCCAATCATATTGTCAGAAAATGCACTATAAGACAAAAAAAGGTAATATTGGAAACTCTGCATCCTATAGATTTCCAGGATACTTGATAAAGCTACCTTCATTCTCTTCAGATGAGGCTTGAAGTTCCTTCCCATCCTTTGAAGGATGAGAGCAACCAATATAATGACCACACTTAGTTCTGAGAAAGCCCAACTAGATCTTCAGCTACTTCTAGGCCTTATTTCATCCAGTTTAAAAAAAAAAAAAATCACTAGAAGAGAGTAATACTGTTTTATTCAAGTCACTACCAACCTGGCACTAAGAACCTAAAGTGTATCTAAAATTCTACTTGCCGAAACCAACTGTTAAAAAACAAACAAAAAAGAGCAGCTTTGTTATTTATCGGAGCTGTTAAAAATGACCTATTACCACAGAGGTGAGATCCCTGTTCTAAATATATCAGAACAAAGCAATTCCTATGTCCCAATAAAATGGTCCGTAGCAGCAGTGTTTTCACTATGGTGAGAACAGAAACTACTAAACTTGATGTCTCAGTCTTTTTACAGTTCATACTGGTCAGTCACTCTCCGTGGGGAAGATACCCCATAACAGTAAAACTCATCTGATTTCAGCAATTATGTGCACTTTGTCTCAAGATCAGATAAAAGTTTTGATTTAATAGCCTTCAGCTTTTTTTCTAGTTGGAGGAAGAGTTATAGCCTGCAAAATGAGCTGAATCTTACAACAGGTATCTGAGGTAAGTTAACTATAAAAAAAAAGGGGGATGGTCTGAAGGAGCACACTGCTGTGAGACTAAGAATTGACTCCGAAGGAGCAGATGTGCTTGTTTTACTGACACACTCAAAAGACAGCCTATGGAGAGTATATCTTATATTACACCTAAAATTTAAACTGTGGGCTGACACGAAAGTATTACAAAGAGGTGGAAATAGGGATATTAGGAGATGTGGATCAATATCTATAAAGAGCTGAACTGAAAAGAATCTGTGAGGATGAAAAAAAATGGAGAGAATCCAAGTTATGTGGCAATGTACTAGGGACTGAGAGGAGAAAGACTAATCTAGGTGGAAGAAGGTTAACGGAGTGAGTTACACGAGGATATAAGCTTGGTTTCATGTTGAAAGGATAGATTACAAGAAGCACAAGTTGCTGAATACTATGAAGAGTAAAAGGATGACGTCTTATGACACAATATAATATTACCAAGGAATTAGTTTAAGAAAACAAAGTGCACTGGAATTTGCAGAAAAGGAGAATAAGAGACTCAATATAGAGGAAAAGGAAGAAAACACTGCTACTAAAGTTAACACTGAAATGAAAAAGAATGCAGCAATGAATGCTAGTACTTTAAAAAACAAAACAAAACAACTGCTCAGCAGCAAACTCTTGGTTTTGGCTTAGGTCATGATCTCGGGGTCATGAGATCAAGTCCTGTGTTAGGCTCCCTGCTCGGGACAGAGTCTGCTTGAGGTCTCTCCTTCTGTCCTTCCCTTCTTACCCCTCAGCTTGCCTCTCCCCCACTTTCTAATAGATAAATAAAACCTTCAAAAAAATTAGTTCTTATTAAGAAAGGAATATAAACACATAATAAAACATTCAAATAATACAAGGTACCATCAATGAAAAAGCAAGTTTCTCAACCACACTATACTCCCTGTTTCCCTTCCTAGGGGTAATCAATGTTATGGGTTTATTACCTATCATTCCAGAAATAATCATATACCTATATACATATGGCTATACCATGTTTTTAAAACATTAAAAGGAACAAGCTTTATATAGTCCTGATCTTGTTTTTTAATTTTTCTAAGACATTATTCCTTTTTACAGTTGCATGTATTACATTAAATGTGTATATACTATAATTTATCTGGTCATTTTCCTACTGACATTTATAAACAATCTTATGATAAAAATCCCTGTATATACACTATTTTAAAGTATTTCTAAGGGACTAATTCCTACAAATTAAAATGCTGGATAAAAGACTATACATATTTATAATTCTAACAGAATTTATTAAACTACTCTTGTAAGAATCTGTAAATAGTGCATACTCCTTGAATAAGGACTATGATATTTTTGGACTGATATTGTAAAAGGCATACAGTTTTTGTTTTTCTTTTTAATTAATTAACTAATTTATTTGACAGAGAGAGAGAGAGAGAGAGACCGCGAGAGAGGGAACACAAGCAGAGGGAGTGGGAGAGTGAGAAGCAGGCTCCCTGCAGGGAGCCTGATGCAAGACTCAATCCCAGGGTACTGAGATCATGACCCAAGCCAAAGTCAGATGCTTACCCACTGAGCCACCCAGGTGCACCCAAAGGCATATAGTTTTAAAAGAGCATACTGGGTAGGAGGGTGGGACTGGGGAGGAGTGAAAGAAGGGAGAAGAAAAGAAAGCTAGCTTACCTTCCAAAGTCACAGAGTTTTAAGACAGCTGTATCAGGGTCCAACAAGAGGTTCTGTGGTTTAATATCCCGATGGCATATTCCAAAGGAATGGATATAGGCTAAACTTCGGAACAGCTGATACATATACAACTGGAAAATATAGTAAAAATTAATGAAGACTTTGTCCCAAACAAATCAGAATCTTTAAGCAGTAAATTAAGTAACAGATTTTCAGAAAAGAGCAGCACTCAATCTCCCTTTTAAGAGTTTCATGTCACTTATATATTAATTAGCTAATTAAAGTCACATTAACCATGTTATATTTGCACCATTCCCCTCAATAAAAAAAAGGAAATGTCACAATGTGCTTTATAAATTTTTATTTTACTGACATCTTACCGTAAGCCTCCTAAAATGGGCTATTAAAAAAAATACAGATGGAAAACCCAGAAAGGTATTCCAGATCATGTGGCTAGCAAGTAACACTGTTTAGACCAGAAGCCAAGTATTCTGTTTTTTCCTAAGTTCACTATTCTTATTAAGTATGTACAATTTCATCTTTAGAATGTATTTTCCTGAGATGTCAGCCCTAGAGCTCATTGATAGAGGGGACCAGGAAAACTCACATGTGACTGAGAAAATCTATAACCAATGATCTATCAAGACATCAGTAGCTACACCAATCTTCCTATATTATCCTTCAGAAATAAGTAGACTTTAAAATGCTATTAAAAAACGCATCCTTGGAGCGCCTGGGTGGCTCAGTGGGTTAGAGCCTCTGCCTTTGCTTGGGTTGTGGTCTCAGGGTCCTGGGATCGAGCCCCATGTTGGGCTCTCTGCTCAGCGGGGAGCCTGCTCCCCCCACCCCCGCCTGCCTCTCTGCCTACTTGTGATATCTCTCTCTATGTGTCAAATAAATAAATATTTTTTAAAAAAAATGCATCCTTGCTGATTATTGACATCAAATTGAAGGGATATTTATTTCAATTCTATTATTAAAAAAATACACTGAGAAACTGACTCTGCATGGAAGAAAGACTCAGACTCTAGCTGAGGAAGACAGGGACTCTATCAAGAAAGTGAGTATATCTTAAATCTGTTTATCCCAAGGTTGGTGTTTAAATTTTTCTGACTACTTACCTTCTGACCCCTACCTCAAAGTTATATATCATGGAAAGAATTTTTGAAATGAGTTCAAATCAAGTATATCAGTATCTTGGTTAAAACAATGACAAAGTCAAAGGTCGGAAAAGTACCGATAGGCACTACCTTCAGAGGCTACTGTTAAGACTAGTTTTTTTTTTTTAAGGTTTTATTTATTTATTTGACAGAAAGAGATCACAAGTAGGCACTAGTTTCTTTCTTTTTTTTTTTTTTTTAAGGTTTTATTTATTTATTTGACAGACAGAGATCACAGGTAGGCAGAGGCAGGCAGAGAGAGGAGGAAGCAGGCTCCCCACTGAGCAGAGAGCCTGATGCCAGGCTCCTTCCCAGGACCCTGGGATCATGACCTGAGCAGAAGGCAGAGGCTTTAACCCACTGGGCCACCCAGGTGCCCCAAGACTTACTAGTTTCTTGAAGTTAACATGAGGCCTACTTTTCTTCAGACAGGCCCTGATGAAAACTACAGACAGCTCAATTTCAGTACATTCTTAATGTTATACTGAACTAAAGCTGGAAGAGTTTAAGCCTTTTTTAAAAAAGCATGATGTAAAATGTATGAAAGAGATCTTCAATAAGGTCAGCATTTTGTCCCCAAAGTTAGAATTAAGGGATGTAGGGGTGCCTGGGTGGCTCAGTGGGTTAAAGCCTCTGCCTTTGGCTCAGGTCATGGTCTCGGGGTCCTGGGATCAAGCCCCGCATAGGGCTCTCTGCTCCACGGGGAGCCTGCTTCCTCCTCTCTCCCTGCCTGCCTCTCTGACTACTTGTAATCTCTATCAAATAAATAAATAAAATCTTTTTTAAAAAAAGAATTAAAGGATGTTGGTATTCCATATAATTTAAAAAGCTTCCTAATTCTATTATGTTATTATTATTGTTTGATATCATCGTATCTCCAAGTCCTAAAGCTTACTCTCAGAGTTCTAAAAGTTAAATTTATTACTACTAAGAAAATAAGCTCCAATAAGAAATTAAGTTCACAGGTATTAATTTATTAAAGGAGAGATTTTACTAACCATCAGGGCGCTAATGTCTGGGTCAGCAATCACCAGTGTAAAAAAAAAAAAAAAGTTTTGTCAAAAATGCTTGAGTCCTTAAATGAGACTGAGGCATTTTTTTTTTTTTACTATATTCATTCATCTGAAAGATCTAATCTGTATCCATTCTCCTCACTTTATCTTTTGAAAGGATAAAGAAGAAATGTACAATTTCATATCTATTTTGTTTTAGACTCTGTAAAAGTGTATTTACAGGAAAATGAAGAGGCCTTCTCTACTATCAAGATAGCAGTAACAGTAACAAGAAAAAGCTACTATTCTAAGTGCTTTGCATGAATTTTCATTTAATCTTTATGTAATAATAGGCATTATTATTTTTATTTTCCATATAAAGTGCCTGAGGCACAGAAGATAAGCAATTTATCCAAATCAGATACTAAATACTGCATAGTGGCTTGGGAAAGTATACCTCTTTAATAATGATTTCTGTATTTTATCGTATTTTTATTCTATTAAATGAAAGTATAAAAATGTATCCATTAAATAGCTTGATCACCAAGTAAATACAAGAATGATAAACTCTTAGAAACTCAGGAGATATTTAGCACATTTTGAAATTCAAGATTGACTGATAGATTTTTTAAAAGATTTTATTTGTCAGAGAAAGAGACAGAGAGAGAGGGAACACAAGCAAGGGGAATGAGAGAGGGAGAAGCAGGCTTCCCACTGAGCAAGCAGCCCCATGTGGGGGGCTCGATCCCAGGACCCTGGGATCATGACCTGAGCTGACGGCAGACGCATAACGACTGAGCCACCCAGGCACCCCTCAAGATTTATTTAATACGTACTGTCAAACCAAGCTTGTTTTACCCTTTTGTTTAATTAATTCTTGCAATCACTCTGCGAGATGCATATTTATCCTCATTTTTATAGGTGTGGTAACTGAAGCCCAAATGAACAGTCTGATCAGTTACAAAGTTATCAAATCTAACTCAAGTCCACTGTTCTTTCCTCTTTGCTACTAAATCTGTTTAAAACAAACAATACATAACAATTTTGTTTATGATTCACAAAAATGCAGCCAGCTTTCTTGTGTCTTCAGACCATGTTCTTTAACCTGTCTTTCAATTAAAAAAAAAAAAATTCAAATTCACAATGATGATTTTCCTGGTTTCAGACTTGAATTTTAAAACCTACTTAGTTATAGAAGATGCTCATCAAAAGGCAAAGTTGCTCAAAAACTTTTTAACTTGTGTATTAACCACCATCAACTACAAAGTGACCCATACTATAAAAACTGAAGAAATGTTTGAAGCAATAATATAATATAATATACTCAACTTCTCCAGAAAAAGTGAAAAAGTGGATGTCAAACAATTACAAAGGACTGTAGCTGCCATTCTGGTGACATGTATGCTAAACAAGTACTTATTGGATGGTCAGGTCCATGAAGGCAAGAGTATATGTGTTTATTATTTTTACTGCTCTCCCAATCCAATATTTTTCACAAAAAATAGTTTTATAAAACTAGGTAAAATAAAAAAGTGAATGAGAGCAACTTATCAATTTCAGACAATGTTTTTATCTTTTTTAAACTCTTTATCTTTTTTTAAAGTTTAAAGTTTAAAAAGTTTTTTAAAACTTTTTATCTTTTTTAAATTCTTAAAAATAAGAATAGATTTGAGTCCTAAAAAGACAACAGGCCAACAGAAAGGGCTACAGTTATATAAAAGAAACATCCTTTTTTCCACAAGGGGGTAAAAGGAGTGTTAGATCTTTCCTTGCATGCCGACTTCAATATGCATAATAACCTTATTTTCTTTTTTACAATACAGGATGCCAGAGATCTCATCCAAATATATGCTGTCAAAAACACAGAAAACATTGCGTGCCCTGGTGGTTTAGTCGGTTAAGCATCTGACTCGGTTTCAGCTCAGGTCATGATCTCAGAATCCTGAGATTGAACCCCGTGTTGGGCTCCCTGCTCAGTGCAGAGTCTGCTTGAGATTCTCTGCCCCTTTCTCTCTGCTCATGCCCTCTCTTTCTCTAAAAATATACATAATCTTTAAAACAAAACAAACCACAGAAAACACAAGGCTTTTTACTACATTATTTGTAATAGCAAAAACAAAAACAAACACCTGAAGGGAAAACAACAGACCATTAGTAGGTGACCAACTGAATAAATTAGGATATAGCCATATAATACACTAATGTGGAGCTATAAAAGGAAGGTGAAATAGCTATGCCTATCTATGTTAATAAAGAATGATCTCTAGAATGTATTTTTAACTTAAAAAGTATCATGGAGGAAAATGCACATATTATGTAACTGTTTACATAAAAAGGAGGTGGAAAAATAATTATATACATCTGCTTATTTTAAAATGTGAGGACAATAAAAAATTTAAATATTTAACTGGGGGAGAGAGGAAATAGAGAAGAAACAGGTATAAAAGTTAAACTTATTTGATGATAATCCTTGTTTTGTAGATTTTACTTTGGAACTAATAATATTTTATATTAATGTTGACATAAAATTTAAAGCAAAATTAAGTTTAAAAAATATTTTTGTGGAGGGGTGGGGACAGAAGGAGAAGAAGAGAGAGAATCTTAAGCACACTCCATGTCCAGCAGGGAACCTGATGTGGGGCTCTGTCTCACAATCCTGAGATCATGACCTGAGCCAAAAACAAGAGTCAGGCTCTTAACTGACTGAGCCACCCAGGCAATGCATGAATAAAAAAATTTTAAATGCAATCTCCAGTAAAAGTAAAATGAAATAAACAAAGCTTGGAGTGCCTGGGTGGCTCAGCTGGTTAAGCGGCTGCCTTCGGCTCAGGTCATGATCCCAGAGCCCAGAGATCGAGTCCTGCTTGATGGGCAGCCTGCGTCTCCCTCTCCACCACCTGCGCTCTCTTGTACATGCACTCTCTCGTTCTCCCTCAAATAAATATTAAAAAAAAAAAAAAGAAATGAACAAAGCTTAATGACGCATACTCGCACAGAGAGGAAATAATTTTTTTTTAAGAGAAAAATTTTACTGTTCATACCTAATAAAATATACCATAGAAATAAAAAGAAATGCAAAGTGATCTTAAATTACTTTCACTTAGTCGTGGTAGTGTCACTATTATTATTCTAAGACTATTATATGTAGAGTGTAGGACAGAATAAGTAATCATACTATCACTGAAAAATGAAATTTTTAGTGTAAGAGAAAGAAGATATAGATGGAAGATTGTTAACCCCCCTCAATATTTAATGAGCAATGTCAATCTATATTAACTTTTGAGATTAAAAAAAAAATGTATTTTATTTGAAAAGCTTATTGAAGTATTTTCTAACTCTGTGCACTAAAAAACCCAGAAAGAGTAACCAACCCTGTAGCAATTACTACTCCTAACATTAGAGACCATGGTCTCTAAATATCATTTCTCACTAAAAGAATAAGGTCTCCTTGAAGAAAAGGTTGATTCCAAGTCTGAGGAAGTAATGTATAAGATGAACCTAGAACACTACCATGCTAGAAAGGGAAGAAGCTATCAAAGATTAGATTATTGAGACTCAGGCAAGAAGTTTTAAAACAAACCTACACAACAAATACCTTGTTGGTCACTTCTGGAGGAACCTGTGAACCAACTAATTATAAATTTTTGTAAATTAAGGGATATAATCAAATACATATCCTGTATTTATTATATAAACTGTACCTCAGGTAATCAAATACTTGACGTGGGAAACTATTTCAGCTTATAAATTTTTTTGGTTAAAGATTTCTTTCTTTCTTTCTTTCTTTCTTTCTTTCTTTCATTCATTCATTCATTCATTTATTTATTTATTTATTTGAGAGAGAGAGGGAGAGGGAGAGACACAGGGTGAGTGGTTGGGGGAGGGAGGGAAAGGAAGGGGAAGCGAATCTCAAGTGGACTCCATGCTAAGCACAGGGTGGATCTGACGACCTGAACTCGAAAACAAGAGCTGGATGCTCAACCAGGTAGGGCACCCAAGCGTCCCCCAGCTTATAAATAAAGAATGAATAATAACTGAAGAATATGCATATTTTGTAACCCTTTATAAATTAACAGATTTAGGAAATGATAAATGGTTATAAGCATCACAAAAAGATATTATGTTCTTCCTTAGGAAACCACTCAATAATACATATGCAGTAGTCTTAAATCTTATAAAAATATATCTAATCATCAATTTGCAGGAAATACAGAAGACAGAGCAACATATTAACACTACAGTAACCCAATCAGCAAAACTCAGACCATGAAACTGCACATCAACTAACCCAGTTTGTTTAATAACAAAGTGTGAGAGAGAGTGGTCTATAAGTTAAAAGAAAAATTAGACACATAGATCAGCCAATTATAAAACATGCACCTTACCCAATTCTAACAAAGAAACTTAAAATCACACACACACACACACACACAGGCAATAAAAATAGTAGATATCTAAAGATGTTAGTGATTAACTATTTATTTGTATAGGTAAAGACAACGATATTGTAACTAAGCTTTTAAAAAGAAAGACCCTATCATTTACACATATATACTGAAATAGTTACAGACGAAAATAATATTATCTGTGACTTGCTTCAAAATAAAGGAAGTGGGGAGTAGAGGGTGGTATAGGTGAAACAAGAGTGGCCATGAACTGAACATTGTTCAAACAGTATAATGGGTACATGGGGGTTCATTATTCCATTTTCTCCTTTATTTCTATTTGAAATCTTCAATAATAAAAACATATATTTAGAGTGACCAAAGACAAGATCCTGAAACGAGTAAAATTTCTGTAGACAGATACAGGAAAAGAAAATCACTTGGCACATTTTATGTTAAATGGTGAGAAAACAGGTATTGGCTTAGCTATGGAGCAATATAGATATGCTAGGAGGGAAGTAAACTTGAAGGGTAGATTCAACAGAGGTATTACTATCCCTCTCTCTTGGGAATTTTGCCAATTCAAAAGAATATGACCTATCTAACTACTTTAGTAACACTGTGTATTTTTTGTTTTATAGTTATTTGTATAATCATTTTTCTTCTTATTAGAGGAGGAATCAAATATTTTATTAAGCTTCACATTGTTCTGCAATCATTTAGCATTTGTTTGCTGAATTAGAGTTGAAATAAAAAACTGGTCTAACTACTGTGCATATCTTATTAAATGTCCACATGTTGTTTTTTTAAATCTAGTGTTAAGATTTTCTATTACTTTTATTTTACAGTCCCAAAAGTGTTTTCTCATATGTTAAGTTCACCTTACAGACCAACAATGCTTAATTGTGAGCAGTAAATAAATGAGTACAATTTTACCAACATGGAAGCTAAGTAGAGAGTAGATCGGTAACTGCCCAAAAACACTTAATAGCAAAGTTGGGTCTCAAAACTAGGTCTTCAGGAACTAAATCTAGGGTTTCTTCTGCTTCATAAATCCATCAACATTCTAAACTGAGATGTTCAAAGATTATTCTAGATTTAGGGACTTAAAAGGGATATTCTAGTGTACAGGTTATCTTGAATAGGACCCACTATCTTAAAATTAGAATAAAGTACTAAAGTACATTTGCAGTACAAAAACTGTGTCTTTTAGTTCCTCCTATTATCAACTTAACCACCAACTTCAACCAAGTTTGATAAGTCCAAATAAAATTATACTGGAAGCAGGTTTTTAAATTCCTAACACTGAATTCAATAGGAATATTGACTCCTTGTCATAATTATCTAGCTACCAAATTCCTGCTTTGGTACCCACTTTATCACTATAAAGTTTAAAATTGCAACCATTAAGCAAAATTCACTACTCAATCTTAAGACATTCAGAGTCAATTTTATTTTCTAGAGTCACTCCTATAAAGAATAAAATGCAAAAAATTGTATTTAGATAGCTAGACTTCGAAACTTAACACCTAGTTAATTTTCACAATGTCATAGTTAAAATAATCTGTGTGTCAAACATACTTCAATAAAATTTTTGCAAGATCTGAACAATCTAATAACGATAATAGTGACAATAATGTTTCTAATCAGCGATCAAAACTTTAATCAGAATTATGCTGGATAAATTCCTAGCAACTCTTGAGTTCTTTCACAGAAGCTGACATTAGGTACTAAAAATTAAGTAACACCTTCACAGAGTCTGTACATATTTAAAATTATAAGAAATTTAAACTTTAGCTACAGTAAGCTGAATCTATAAATGGCTACATAATGTTTAATATGATCATATATATATTTTATAATTTTATATGATATGCCTGCTCCTTTTTCAGTCTATGCCATAATAAGGGTATCTGAAATTAAATAAATAGGTGTTATGGCCAGCAAAATTAAAATCCACAAATGTCTGTGAAAAAATTCACTAGTCAGAAATATGACAAGATATTTTTAATATGAGAGTCATCAAAGTTTAAAAGGTGAAGGTTTCACACTTCAAAATTATATAAGAATTTAATGAAGATCTAGCAATATCTACTTTGAAGCTTCCCCCACTTGGCATTATATACAATAATATAGTTAAAACATAGCCAGCACTTTCCTTGGCTCATATTAAGTACTTTTCACAATGGGAAATTGCTCCATTTTTACATACCTTGACATAGATCACAGGGAGCGTCTGTTTGGCTCGACTATAGTGTCTGGCAACTCTGTATACTGTTTCCGGAACATAGTCCAGCACCAGATTAAGATAGACTTCATCTTTCTGAAAGAGTTCATTAAAAACAGAAAAAACAAAATTAGAAACTAGTATTTTATATAGTCAGAGCAAAATCTCTATACATTTACTCAGATTTTTTTACTTTTACTTATTCACACTTTTAAGATTCATACATTCAATTCTAATTATACAAAAGTAATTCAGAATATAGCCAAAACAGTAAAAACAAGTCTACTGTATCTTTTTACTAACAATTTCATGGTTAAAAAAAAATAGCCATTTCAATACTGCTAAGATTTTTAATTATATTTAAACTATTATTTTGTAGTAAGATTTTAGAGGATATCACCTGTCACAAAATTTCCTATTTTCTAGTTTGAGAATCAGTGCCCTTATATCCTATTGGGAAGCTGTCATGGTAGTAGAGTGAGTACTAAATTAGCAGTGAAGATTTCCAGCCTTTGCTCGGCTACTAAATTAATGTATACTAACTAATGCAACACTTAATCTCTCTAGGCTTCAGTTCCTTCAACTAGAATATGAAAAATTGGACTAGATGTTCTTCAAAATTTCTCTACAACCTCTACAAAGAAGATTCTATGGTTATCTGATAGTCTATAATTAGTAGAATAATCACTTGTCTTATACAAGTAACTGAAATAAAAAGAGTAATTTATAAGGCAGCAAGTTACCATACTCACAAGTTTATTGCAGATCCTATGTTTAAACATCCTTTCTCAGCAGCCTAAAGACACCAATCCAAGATCAGTAGATAGAAAGAAAGGAATTCCAACTAAGTACCAAGTAGGAAAGAGGAACAGAGTGCTACCTTTACTCTGTTTATGTGAACAATATCAGATAGGTAAAATGAAGCAGAAAACAAGTTGAAAATCACTGTATTCAAATCTAGAAACAGCTGCTGAAGGGGAAAATCTGTAGGTAAACAAATTTTCACAATCTTCCCAATCTGAAATCATGTTACCTATCAAAACGAAGTAAAGAATTTCAGTTTTCAGCATTTACTGAGCATTTTCTACATGTCAGTAGCCACTGTAGAGGAAGTAAAGGTGGGGGCATAAAAGAGACGACATCTAAATGGAGTATGAAAGGAGCGTTTAAGGCATAGAAAAACTATGAAGGCATAGAAAAACAAGATGTGGGGTCAATGAAAAACAGCAGAGCTCAGGAAACAGTTTAGTGAGACAGCGTGCCATCAACTCTACTACCTTTTCATTATCCCTCACTCTTCCACGTTCTCCTCTCTTCTCTCTATATCCAGCTTATATCACGGTCTACCATTAGCCTCATTCTCTAACACGTGGTCAGTAAACAACAGCAAAGGCCTGCTGCCTGTTTTTATAAATAAAGTTTTATAGGAACATAGCAATGTTCATTCATGTAAGTATTGTCTATAGCTGCTCTGGGGCAGAGCTGAGTATATAACTGAGACTATAGCCTGCAAAACCAAAGATATTTACTATCTGGCCCTTTATGAAAAAGTGTGCCAAGTCTGCTCTAATATATATCCTTTTCTTATATCAGACCTGTTTGATAAACCACAACCCTGGTTAAATCCAGCTACCCATTCATTCCATGCCTGTACCCAAACTGCTGAACATGGCTACAAAAAAATCTAAAACTGTGCTGCTTGGTTTCACAGTAAATTCATCATCAAGAAATTCAACTGGCCCAGCAATTACATATTTGCCTAGTCCTTTCATTTTTCCCAAATACTTGATTTCTTCTTTCAGTTTGACCTCCAATACCTGTCTTCCCATCCTCACCCTCAGCTGATGACCTGGCTTGCACTATTACATGTGCCCATCTACAGCATCTAACCCCATATGCTCCTATTTCCCTTCTCTAATTAGTGATAAAGTTGCTAATATCCTTTTAAAGGCAAATCCTCTACATGTAAAAAATGATACTATTCTGCTCTTCCTAATCACAATCAGCACTTCAATAATTTTCCTATCTCTCTTCATTAATTATTCTCTCTCTCTGGGAGCATTATAATCTGCATATAAACCCACTGTTACTTCTCCCATCATTAAAAAGAAAACTCTAACTGCACTAATTACCACCATATTTTCTGCCCTCCTTTAATAGTAAATTTACTCCAAAGAGGTGTCTAGACTGACATTCTCCAATACCAGTCTTTTCTCATTCTCTCTGAAACTTACTCCAAACAGGACTTCATCACCACTGCTCAACCAGAATTGTTGCTTAAGATCAGTTAATGTTGCTGAATCCAATGTCAATTTTCAGTCATCACCTTATCTCTCCTTTCTACTTGGCTAAGCACTACCATCTAACATAGTTGGACCATGCTCCCCTCTTTTGAATACTTGCTTTACATGGGTTCTAAAACACTATACTCTTCTGATTTTCATCTTACCTTAAAGACCACTCTTCTTGCTCTCCATTTCTGGCTCATTCTATTCCCCTTTCTCTCTTAAGGAATGGAGGATCCCAGGCCTCAGTCAGATCTCTGTTCTTATGTAAGCTCACTCCTGTTATGCTCTCATCTAGTCAGGTGGTTCAATACTCTACACTGATATCTCCTAAATTCATATACATGTTGGACTTCTGCCTTTAACTCCAGACTATTATGTCATATTGTGTACTTGACATTGCTAAGGCTAAAAACCTAAGAATCATCATTAATTCCCCCACTCTCCTCCTTCTCTTACACATATACACATACGAAAGAAAGTATTAATGGTACTATCTTTAAAATTTATTCATGATCCAACCATTTCTTATCATCTTCATTGCTATAATCCTAGTCTGAACTACTATCACCTCTCATCTGGATTATGGCAGTATCCTCCCAAATGGTCTTTCCGCTTTCACCTTTCCCCTTTGGTCTAATATCAACAAAACAGAAGTTAAATGGTAGCTCTTCCACTACACCTCATTAAGATTTATGCTTATAAAGTGGTCTACAAGGTCCTCCACACATACTTTCTTATTTCCATCCTCTACTGCTGCCCCACTGCTTGCTCATCTCTACTGAGAATAACTTCCTGCTGTTTCTTGAACACATTTGGCAGGATTTCATATTCAGAGCCGCTATACGGATCACTCCTTAAGCCTGGAATATTCTCCCCCTTAGATATACACATTGCTCTTGTCTCAATTCCTTTAAATCCTGCTAAAATGTTACTGTTTTAGAGTAGCTTTCCCTAACTGGGTGTTCACCAATTTCTCCATCCGATACTCTTACCTGCCCTGCCTACTTTATTTTTCCCCATGATACTTACCATTTTCTAACCACCTAGTTTACTTTATATTGTCTCCTTCCCCCCAACTAGACTAAGCTCAACGAGTGGTAATGATTTTTGTCCGTTTTGTTCATCATTCTTCTCCACCTAGAATACTGCCTAGCACATAGTTGGTACTCAATAAATATCTGCTGAATGAATTAAGCTCAGAAACAATGAATATTATTTAAAAATTAGGATGGCAGTCATACACATCTGCTTTAACTCAAACAGCACTGTGAAAAGCAGGTATGAAGGTTGGGGGGAAGAGGGAAGTTGAGAGTGAAAGCAGTGTGAGCTTCTAGAAACGTCCTACAGGTATCCAAGACCTAGACTAGCATTTAGACAATAAGGACTGAAAGAAAATGGAGGTTAGGAGAGGCAGGTATATTGGCTACCTAAGCATGAGAGTAATAGAGAACCTCCTGAAGCAAAGAAATTGGGACTAATTAAACAGTCTCTAAACCTGGGTGACTAGGCAGGTAATGAAACAAGGAAAGCGTAAAGAGGAAAAAAAGGTGTGAAGGAAAAGTTTTAACTTTTATTTAATGGAGAATCTTGGATCTCAGAACATTTTAGGTGGCTATGTTCCACAGATAGCTGGAAATGCAGGTCAAGTCAAAACTCAAAAAAAGAGAATGGAGTATGTCTAGAGATTTAGACAGTAGCTAAAACTATGAGCACAGCCTCACTCAACTAAGAAGTGTGGGTACAGTAAGAGAGTGAGAAGAGACTCAGAGTGTAATCCTAGAAAACATTAACCTTAAGGATATTACATTAGGCGACAACTTTGTAAAGACCAAGAAACAGAACTAAGAGGCATTAAAAAGCAAAGAAATTTCAATAATGATGAGATGTGGAACAGCAAGGTGTTTCACTGGCAGGAGAGATAAGGACTGAAAGGTTGTTAGATCTGGTGTATCGTGGTTCAGTGATGGTCCTGGAAAGAGCAGTTTCAGACCATGGTGCCAGAAGCAACCAACCTATACTAAGATCAAGAGTAAATAGATGGTAGGTGAGGAACAGGAGGCAGCTAATTTAGTTTGTTCTTACAAAATCCATTGTGGTGAAAGTAAAAAGCAAGCCAGGAGCTGATAACTTGAGGAGAGGCAAAATAGAGGAGAGGTTGTAGAGAAATTGTTGATGTGCTTTTCATTTGTATTTTTTAAATAGCTAAAGGATACCCAAATTTATTTTAGGCTGAGTGGATAAGGATAGAATAAAAGGATGGAATAAAGTGGTAAGAAAGGAAAGAAAAGGGATAACTGATAAAACAATGTTCTAGAACATCACGAGAAATGAGAAACAAGAACACAGAGTACCATTCAGTGCAATTAAAAGGCAGCGTTAGCATTAGTCAAACAAAACATGGAAGGCCAAACTCTGATAGTACAAGTTCTGTGACCACAAGCAAGTTACTTAATTTCTTTCAGACTCAGTTTCCTGTAAAATCACACTAACAATGGCATCTACTTTAAGACTATATTGAGATTATAATAATCTATAAAAAGCTCTTTAAGCACATTACCTGGCAAATTATAAAGACTTAAATGTTCACTATTGTCATGTTTAGGAGGTAAGGATACCACATTTTTCTTCCAATACATCTAAAATAAATGATTAGGTTAGAAAGAATTCTAAGTTAAGTGTATGTCTGATAACCCTCCTTCTTGTGAAATAAGAAATAAGGTCATATGTAGAACTAAAGGCAGCAAAAAAAAGCAAGAGAAGAACATTTGAGAGATCAAGATTTAGACAAGAAGTTCCAAGTGAAGATGA